TTGCTGATTGTGATGACCTACGTTTTCGCGCCGTTTAACGAGGTATTACATTTGACGTCGAAAGTTAACCAGTTCAGAGGAAGTAAACATGTACATGTTACAGCTCATTGGTTATTTGGGCATCTGCTGGTCGAGGAAAATGGAGTTTGCTGCAGACAAATTTTCAGCTAGTGTTGGCTATGCGCAACTGTTGCAGTCAGCTCTCATAAAACTTTCCAAGGACAATCTCATATTTCCCGTGGACGACTGGCTGTACTCTGCGTGGCATTACAGCCATCCTCCAATCATCGAGCGGATTCGTGCTCTGAAGAAATTTGAATGAAATGAATTTCGAAGTGGTAAAAGTTTTTTGTTTCGAGGAGTTCTGTCCCTTATTAGAACTTTCTTATCATGCTTATCGTTACACTTTTGAAAAACAGTAAAAATTATCGTCGGTCACTACCGTTGTGTTCTTAGTTGTTCAAAAACGCATGAAGTCAGAAAATTCAACAGTATGATCGTTGGGTTTCATTATGGGTACGTACATGGAATAATGACACAACGTTTATCATTAATAGTTCCATAACAACGTCTTTTTTAGGTTGATTGGCTTTTGGTCGCTCCTGAAGTGCCTTTAACATTATGTTCAGGTAAATATGAAACGAGAAGGCACAGGATCTTTGCCGTTCGTCTGTGAAAAACTGAAATGGGCTCATATCATTACATGCGTCAATATCTGAATAGTGATCATAGCGTGAACTCATTCTTCCGTCTTGTCAGCGTGTTCAATGTAGTTCAGCTGTTTGTGTTTGTTTTGTTGAGTATAAACTCGTTAATCATGTAATAGCTGGCAGCTATCAAAGTGGTACCATAATAAAAATTGACTTCTATATGGTTCGGTACTCAGTTTTACCGGCCTGTGGTTCAGCGTGCGTATCAACGACTGCATTTCTTTCCCACCATTCGATTGTTTGGACTGTGCTGGTGACACTGCTATTTTTGAGTCTTTGACAGATTTCAGCTAATTGGGAGGTATGAATACACTATTATTGCGTTTGTGCATATTTTTTATTGGATACATTTGCACTTACCGTTCTTGAAAAGACTGAACGCTTTCGTCAATGAAATGATTGAATGTGTCTTCTTCACGAAAAGTAGTAATATCGGTCTCGTAAAATAAAGACTATGCTGTTTTTATGTCCTGATTATGCTTGCAGGGTGGTAACGAAAAGCGTCTGCAGGTCAGCTTTGTTAAAACTTAGGAAATCAGCTTTATTCAGTGCCCTCAGCCGGGCATCAGCAAATTCTTCCAACAACAGAAGCATAATCAAGAACTGGAAATTTTACTTGCATTTCAATCAAATGAAATATTTCATTATCTTCTGATCCTATGAGACATATGGGAAATCCATCAAGACTCGTTGACCCTCTCATCACGTGAAACCGTTGTGCGATGCGGGCTCTTATATAATGCAAAAAGTTTTGTTTCGTTTTTGTTCCGTTTTTTGGTGTATTTCTGCACCATACCTACGCGTTATGAATAGTTTTACTTTATTTTGGCGGTTTTCTCCTCAGCGGAAAAAATGTCGTTAACGGTTGGAGTGCAAGTCTCCCTTGCATTTTCCTGATTGGGTGCCAGTTCTTGACTGTTTGTGCGATATTTTGCCAACTGACCTTCCCCGGCTCTTCCCCTAAATAACCTGCTAAGCCTTCATCGAATACGGGTGGCATAGGTTTCAGAGAGTTGATCAGTCATAAAATGGCTAATTGCACACGTACGGTCATTAACTATGTTCGGTCCGTGTCTAACCTTTCACAGAGTCTGATGTGGGTTCATTTAACTGGGGCAAAATATGAATGTGTTCATCCACGCGAAGACCAATCGATCATATCTACAGATGATTAGTCGATAAATCTGCCTTACAATCCAATGATCTAAAGTTCGAGTCACTCCTACTTCTTCTTTTCAAAGCGGGCAATTCAGAATTACTTTGAGAGAGTGGACATATAAGTGCCACGTTGTCACTTATTTGTAGTTGTAAAATTTGAAAAGAAAGAAGATAGTTGGGTTGAAAGATATATCTGAAGTTAGCGTCACATTACGAACTTAATGCAAGGAAAGTACTTAATCATGGAAGCTCAAAGAAGAGCGATATTCCAGCAGGTGCAAACTTTTTGTTTCCACAAACGTTCATTCATACAAGCCGCCAAGCATTCCTTCAGACAGCTGAATGTTACAAAAAAGCAGCCTTCTATTTTATTCGATGCACAGCGGTGCTTTTTTTGATTTTGTTACATAACTTTTACTCTATAGTGGTTGGATTTTTCTAGCCACGGATTTAACGTCGTAACTGTTTTGCACGTGTGATCAACCCCATGTCTTGCAGCTGCTAATTACTTTCATTAGTATACTTTTATTCATATTTCAGGTAGTACGGATCAATTTTGTTCGCTGGAAAAATAGGAATTTCAGTTATCTTATACACGCAATGGTGAAATCAACAATGAGAATCTGTAAAAAAAAATTGAGTAATATTAATGCTTTCAGTTGACAACAGTTACCGTGAATAAAATGTATCATCTGTCATGGAATCATTGTTTCCTTTTAGAAAAAAAGTAGAGGAGCTATTTTATTTATGAAAGAATGAAATGGCAGCTATGCTCACAATTCCGCTTTCTTCCTATAGTATTGCTAGTTATGGCCGGTCCCAAGCCCGCATGAGAAAGGAGGAGGGTTGGAGACCGTGGCAAGTCTCCGTAAAATTCAG